GAAAGTTCTCAGGTTACACCCCTTTTACCTCACATATTCTGATTCCCCATAAAAATCTGGTCTAGAAAAACCATATGAGAATTTCTACCTCTCCAAGTGGCACCTATCTCAATTATAGCCTGGTCTATAAAGCTAAAACTACATTTCTATACATTACATAAATAACAATAAGTTTCAAAAATATAAAAAATTAGTTTTGGACCATTGTTCAAATTTATCATTATTATACAGTAATATAACACATACGATTTTAAGGCTGAGTTTCTGCAACACTTATTACATGATAAATTATCAGAAAGCGGCTATTTTGTTAATTTTAGCTGCGGAGGTGGGGCCAGAGTTTCCGATAAAAAAATGCTCCGAATGCGGAAATAAATAACCTTTGACTCATGTCAAACAACAGTCATGCAAAGAATTATTTTGGGTAGTTAGTTTCTAAACGGCTGCGCTCGATGTCACCTGACAGGGCCTAGGTCTGCCCTGGCGTGGATGTGGGGGATGGGGGGGCAACAGTACAACTGCACCCAATTAAATTGTATTAAGAAAAATAATTGTTGTATTATTATATTGTTGATATATAATTTCTGGGCATCTTGAGGTTCAAATTCTTAACATTTTCACACCTCAGCCCAAACCATGGTGGGGCTGAGGTGGTGTGGATTCTCATGCACCCCCTACCACCAAATCCTGCAACCACCTCAGCTATCCCGACCTATCCTTTATTGTACTATACACCAAACAAAGCTAGCATCGTTTGCCTTCTTCTCAATCCCTACTGTATATAGTACAATGAAACACCATTGTGACAGTACATTTCACAGCGTAAAATAGTACCAAACAATTTCGTTCTTGGCCTAGGCCTATTCATCTCGAACAAAAAAAGTGGGGGGGGGGTCACCTGCTAGGTCAATAAAATTGTTTGAAGCTGAACACATTGCATTCTTGTCCATTATTTTGCATGATGGGAACAAATATTTGGAAGAAATTTCAAGATAATTTATTAGATTATAAGTGCTGTGGAAACATGCCCTAAAATAAACAATACCTCATGCAACATAGTTGTAGTTGATAAAATAATTACAAAACTACAATCAATGGTAAAGGACCAATATTTATTTTTAAAAAGCTGGTACGGTCTGTTCAAACATCATACAACAGAAGTACAGTATGTTCGACTCTTACTTATTGTTTAATTATAACTGATTAAAAAAAAATACAGTACCTTCTCTACTATGACCTCAACATTGCCACTATTAGGACACCACTCACCAACAGCAATATGCCCTCTGTAAGATGAATACAAATACAAAGTCATACTTTCAAAACATATTAAAGCAGTAGACATCAATTATCATGTCTACTAATGCATCTCTTCATGACATTGAAGTAGGGTATATCTACTGTACATGAGGAAACTTCACCATTTACCAAATTTTCAATTTTTGAACCAGGTTTTGCCAATCTATTCTTATCTCTATTAATTCCTGCTTTAGGGAATTTTGTAACAAGATTAACAGTGAAGATCATTAGTTGTGAATAATTTTTAAAATTCAAAAGCATATCTATTATTATTTTTATCTGAAATTATAGCTAAGGTAATAAAAATGCCAAATATTGTTGAACAACAGGTTTTTAAAATTATCAGCCTGGTTTTTAAATACCATACAGGTAATTTATTGAGAAATAACAATGCCTGCTGTGATAATGACTCTTAAATAGAGGTATTCTTTTTTGATGTTTAATTGGATTATTGAGATAAGATTCTGGCAAAACCTGGTTCACCAACCTGCCTAAAAATGCCCTTTTAAAGGGTTTGCTGGTAAAAGGGATAGTAACAGCATGGAGGTATAAAAATATTTATACCTCCATGGTAACAGCATGAACAATTTTAAAGTGATTTATATAATATCAAAATGCATGAAGACATCAAAGTTTTAAACTAAGAAAAAAAAAATGATGAAACTTCTCCTAGGACAGAATTTTAAATTTTATATCAGTGTATGACAATGGTTGGATACCACCCAAACAATGTTTACTTGTTCTATCACTAAAGATACTAACAATTTTGCAACACGTTCCTCTCCAAGTAGCATGTCTTGTCTCTGGCACATGTTTGATATTTTTTTCTCTTGCCTCTGTGAACCATCTGGTACGTTCTCCTTCGTATCTCGTTTAGGAATATTTGTGTCACGATTCTTATATCTTAAAAGCTCCATTGATCGCTCTCTCTAAAAAGTCAAAACATCATGAATATTCATTATTATTATCATATTCTAGGATATCTCGCATAATGGGCTTATTTGACTGGTTCATTTCGTTGAGTACAAATTTTCGTTAAGTATTATTTTCATTCGACTGGTTAGTAAAATAGACTTCGTTGACAACGAAAATTAACGTAACCAGAATGCATTATTCAGCGTGTGACCAAAAAAAAATATGGCCGATTATTCAGTTTAACAACATTTGCGTTAATATTTTAGATTAAAATTACAGAAAATAAAAATTATAATATTAACCCACATTGAATTTAAAAAATAATTGTAGGCTAACAGAATTCAAAAACTGGATGAAAACATTTTTTACGAAAAAACCCATACTACCACAATCCGAAGCAGCCTTGATTAGGCAGCATGTATCGCGGTAACTAGGCAGCCATTTTGTTTTGCCGAGTATTCACCAGTTTTCTATTCGACTGGTTGTCTTCGTTAAGTAGGATTTTACCACTGGACTGCACAGGTGGCCGTGGTTTAACAAAGAACGACCAGTCGAATACAGCCAATCAAATACGGCCAATATGTCATAGCAGTAAAGGAGGAATCACCTGTAGTTTCAAAGTACTCAAATCTTTTTGATCAATTTATCATCACGCCATTTTCTATTAATTATTAAAATTTTAAGTACATCTACTCTTATCCCAGCCAGTTGCACATACCATGCACATACATACACACCAACCCTTTCTTAATCTTATTCATTGCTTCATGAGGATCTAGGACGCCTCACATCTATTGAGTGGCTTAATTAAACTACTAGGCCTACCCTAGGCTAAAGAGTTCAGCTCAGCTCAGCAGAAAGAGCAGCCTTAGCCTACTACTACTAGTACTACTACTACGGTACTACTACTACTAGTACTACTACTCTAGCCTACTACAGTACTGTACTAGGCTAGGCCTAGGCGCACTATAGTCTATAGCTACAGCCTAGCCCTGAGTGTGCATGTGCAGCAATACCTGATAATAAAGTACTCCTCAATTACAACCCTACATATCAACTCATACGAGTATAACTTTCTGAAAACAGCTACCAAGACCTCTGAAACCACCCTACTAAATGGTCCTACTGGAGAATTCCTGGAGATAAAGTCACACAGAACGTGCCTAGAAACGTGATCACGTTAACCGAAGTACTGTACTCTGTATGTTTACCAGCGTGACCACTGCTTGGGTATTTACCCAAGATCTTGGGTATTTTGACTTGATCTTGGGTTCTTGGGTATTAGACCGTGGGTTGAGGATCGAAAACGTTCAATTCTGTGACCCACCAATCCGGGCTACCTGGCTTTTGCACAAAAATGTCAATACTATTAAATTGTAACATAATTTGATTGTCGGCAATCGTGAATTTGGGGAAACTGTAACCAAAAATGAGAATTTATATCAAAAGTTGCTACGTAACTATAGCCAATCAGAAGACGACTAACAATGAAGTTTGGCTTAACTGCATGGCCCTCAGCCAATCACAAACTACCTTCTATGCCATTTGTCCAATGTAAATAGTAAACAACACACTCCTCTTGCAAGTATCATGCCGTTGGACAGATAGTTCTTCAAATGATAAATCTGAGCCGGTTTCAGGCATATTTTTGTGATACATGTTGTAAGAACCTAGAGCATGGTTGTGTCATTAAGCATAAACAGCTTAAATAAATTTAAGGATGTGCAACTCTGAGGAAAACAACAAATACGAGTCCTCAGTAAGGCTTATTAAGTTTCCGTCGAAGCTGATGAATAGCCTACATATAGGGCCTATAACGAAGGGGATCTCAGGGATGGTGGTGCAAGTAGTAGTAGTCAAAATTGCACCGAATCTGTTTAAAGGTACGTGTGTGGTTACATATAACGTTAAAAATGGTATGGTATGTTTTACTTAATTGAGAAGCACTAAGCGTCTCTCTATCACACCACACACACAGCCAGGAAGCCCTGCCTTTTCCTCAAATTGGGTTACTATCGACAGCAAAATAACCACAGAGTATTGTGAATCAAATACGATGATGTTATATTGTAATAAGCATATTGAGACAATAATGTTGGCAATGAATCGACCCAGCATAAACAACTGATCATGAAGACAAACCAAATCAATCCACAATTATATAGCAACTATTTACTACTGTCTACCAAGAACAATTACTACACAAATTGAATCAATTCAGTCATTTGGGGTGGGGGATGTGCCCTTCAGGGACTGTGCTTAGACTAAGTAATTCAGGCTTAATTTGATTTTAATGTCTTCATGAAAAGAATAAAACAAAACTATTATATTAATAGTGCAGTATGTTTTATCTACATAGGAATCCTTAGACACAACATAACAAAAAATATATTAGTTAATAGGTATCAAAACTGACTTAAGAAAATAATATTTATCAACAGTTTGATGTCCAATTAAACATCACCACCTGCATTTAATATTGTATTATACTGATACTACTTATTTTTTTTTCTTTCTTTTTTTTTTTTTGGAAAACAACCTTTGATTAAAAAGAAACAATTTAAATACATATTTGATCATTAAAACCATCACAGTAGCATTGATAAGCTCTTTCAATTAGTTTGTTTAATTAATTTTCATAGACCACAGAATCAAGTGAATGGAAGTTGATGAACCACAGCCAAAGCAAATGCTCATTCTGCATCACCTGAAAGCTGAAGTCAAGAATTAAAGAAATGCTTCCTGGTCGAAGTCATGTTCTCCCGTGTATTTTTTTTTGTAAAAAGACAATAATATATTAAGTATGTTTAATAGAGCAAAAACCATTGAAACATTGAGTGGTGGAATTACTTGAGGCTGCTATTGCAAATCAGGATGAAGCCTTGTCACTACATGAGGGATAAGGATCTGGTGGCAATTCAGGCCATATTATAGGCCATGGAAAGAAACATGAATCGATTGAAAGTACTGTAGTCCTATCAGATTGGAACTGTATACTGTTTGTATGAATGTTGTTATCTACAGTATTTGATATGACATCATACCATACACTGTGTTGAGAAATATTTCCAGATATTATTAAGGATTTTGCTTGTATGAACATTTATCAACAACACATTAATTTTTTTAATAAAAATTTGCATTGACTTTTTGAATTGCATTGTATTGTATTTTACAATGCAATATGAAAAGAAGAAAATAACAGAACAGTACTTGCTGATAAATTATAATGAATACAGCAAAACTTTCATTATTTCTAGTTTCTTTTAAATTGTTTATGCTGGTTGGCTACATTGATAATATTATATAATTGTAATATTTAACACATGTTTATAAGTGGATTGGATTGAACTCTATATTCAGCTATGTTTAAAGCAGTTCTGTGTAGGTATATGATGTGCTACAGTG